GCAAAAAACACATTACATAGCAGCCTTTTGGTTTTTAATTTGAGATAAAAATGGTCATTGTCAAGAGAAAACACATGCTGCTTGTGTTCTGTTACTTGGGACAGGAAGGGTAAGCTGGATCTCCCACAAAAAGTGACAACATAAAAAGTATTCTTTCCCATTTAGTGATTTTTGTTATAAATAGGAAATCTGTAAGTGGCAGCAATGAAAACAGTTTGTGTGGGAATCATGCACTGAATGACTTACACTCTCCTTTTCCGACATGGAAAGAACATGCCTCTCCTGGGAAAAGATGGGAGTTTATTCTCATGACAGGCTTTCAGAGCCATTACAATATGGTAAGTTCAGCAATAGAGTTCTAGTTCTACAGACACAACCTCTGGCAGCCAGACTCATGCCAAAATTCATTTCAAGCATGCTGTCAGTTGCTGACAATCATAAGGTTTGTTTCAAGCCTGTTGGGAGCTAACAGGGACCAAATAAATTACAGTTCCTTGAGAAGGGCAGGCTATAGCTAGTGAATTTATTTCAGCTTAACTAGAATAAAAGTTTTAAGGCCTAAACCTTTGCAATTACCTCATTTCTTCACATCTAACAGCAAAAAATGTTCCCTTTGAGTCCATTTGTAATACTCTCTGTACCTCCCTGTGGTGCTACTTACCCAGCCGTGTCAACTCTCAGCTTTTTGAATGCTGTCTGCAGACTTTCCTCTTCTCCATCCTTAGCTTCCGTTTTCATTATTGGGATGGCCAGAAGGTGTCAGAGTTACCATGTACTGCTACAAGCATAAAAAAAAAAGCACATGAAAATAAGAACCAATGCACTGTTAAAAACACTAGTTGCCCAGCAGCACCACAATACATGAAAATAAACTCAAAATAGCACGCTGAGCACATAAGGCTGAGGTCATTCTAGCTGAACATTTCTGAAAGTTGACTCAGAACAAGTTGATGATACCCAAAAAGAGAAGAGTCTCTTGTACAAGTGCATAGGTGAATTAGCAATCTACAGTAAAAACTGGTGTCACGAAGATGGTGGCTTGCCCATCTGTTACAGTCCAGACTCTTCCATTCATCTTACAGTGCCACCAAAATAATTCCAGAAGAGGTGAAAGGCAGAAGGAACACCACTGTTAGAAACAGTCAAGTTCTTACTACTGCTATTTCCAGCTTTGGGACACGTATAAAAAAACCTCAAACCAACAGATTTTCCTTAAAATGAGATAAAAATTAAACAAAATCTTTTGATCTTATGTCTAGATCCCAGCAAGTTACATAATCCTATCAGAACATGGCACTGTGATTGCAAATAATAAAATTCTCTGGTATCAGCTCCTGAACAAATACAAATGCCAATTAGAGCACAAACAGCAAAGAGTGAGCCTGTTTTACATAAAAAAAAGGAACTGATAAAAACTGCCTGATGTATTTTCCTTTTAATCTACCCTGCCCATCAGTTAACCTAGCTACAAAGCAATCCCAAATCTTTCTAATTTGATGCTCCTCATTGCCTTACACTTCTGCAATCACATGCACATGCTACACCAGCCACGCTTCAGCTGAAAAAAAGACCTGGTAAAGGTTTGCTTCCTTTGTTTTTGCTGAGCAGAAACCACTGACAAAAGCAAGTCTCAGTTACTCCAAACTAACTGTTTGAAGTTTACCTGGCCAATTAACCTGCTTTTGACTTGACTACTTCTGGAAAAACAGGGCCATTTTGGGTCAGTGCCATTACTGCAAGAGCCTCCTGGCCACACTATCTGGGTTGTGACAAGATCACCTCCTCATTCTTTATTATTAAATTGCAAGGTTGTCACACTTGAGAACATTCTACAATGAGATCGGTTTGGTAGACAAGGGGAGAGCAGTGGATGTTTTCTACCTGGACTTCAGTAACGCTTTTGCGTCTCCCACAAGACCCTCAACAGAGAAGGTGATGATAATCCATCACTGCATGATTAGTCAGTGGCATGGGCTGAAAGAGAGGCACAACAACTGGGCCCAAAGGGTGGCAATCATTGACACAAAGTCTAGTTGGAGGTCAGTAACTAGCAGGGTACCCCAAGGTACAGGGCCCAGTGCTGTTCATCATCTTCATTAAAGATCTGGATGATGTGGCAGTGTTCCTTCAACAAGTTTGCTGGTGACACCAAACTGGGATGGGTGGCTAAGGGACAATGACAGGCTGGAAAAAGGGGCCAACAGGAACCTCATGAACTTCAATGAGGGGGGAGTGAAAAGCCCTGTTCCTGCAGAGGAACAAACCCATGTGCCAGTACAGCTTTGCAGAAAAGGCCCTTGGGTTCGTCGCACACATCAGGGTGGACACGACCCAGCAATGTGTCTTTGTGGCAAAGGGACTAACGGTATCCTGAAGTCAAGGGAGCTGATCCTTCCCTCTGTTCAGCTGGAGTGCTGCAGCCAGAGCTGGGCTCCCTGCTACAGGGACTGGCTACTGACATGCCAGAAAGAATCCAGTGAACAGCCACTAAGGTGATGAAGGAACTGGAACATCTCTCCTGCGAGGAAAGGCTGAGAGAGATGGGACTGTTAAGCCAAAAAAGGGCTCAGGAGGGATCTCACCAACATATATTTATAAATACCATAGGAGTAGATACAAAAAGGACGAGAGCCCAGCTTTTCTCAGTGGTGCCCAGCGACAGGACCAGAGTGCCTGGGCACATACTAGAACGCAGGAGGTGCTGCTGGCTGAGCATAAGGAAAGGCTTTGCTGTGAGGGTGACTGAGCATGGGTACCAGCCTAGGGAGGCTATGGAGTCTCCCTCCTTGGAGATACACAAAAGCTAGCTGGACATGGTCCACAGCAAACGGCTTGGGGTGCCCCTCCTTGAGCAAGGGGGTTGAGTCTCCAGGGATCTCTGCTGTGATTCTGTATTTGCTTGATGCTCTAAGAATCCTTTACAAAAGTAACTATCCAAACCCAGGAAACTATAACAGCTCTTGTAACAGCACACTTGCATAGAGCACTAACTCTACTCACTAATACAGCAACGCCTACATTAGTACTGCTTTTAGCAACAAAGCACCAGCTTTTCTATAGCATGAGAAGGTGTCTGTGAAGAGAAACTTGAACCTCTGCAGCTCAGTTATTTATGCAGCTACTGAGTGATCATCTCTGCTCCCTCACAGCCTCATTCCAGCTGGAGGTGGCAGCTCTCTCCACTGTTGTTCAGCTGTGATTTCATCTGGACACCTCGTATTGCAGACAGCTATTATGAGACACGCCGAAGGCTAATGTATCATAACAACGTCAAGGAACACGCTGTCCAATGAGTCAGACAGCAAGTAAACATGAGAGGAGGAAGCCAACACACAGATTGACAACATGATGCTCATCTGAGCAAGTTATTACTTCATGTACTCTTAATTAGATACTAGTGCTTGGGTGAAACATGAAATCTTACTTCAATAAGATTCCCCCTTCACCCCAAAAGAAAATTACAAAAAATAAATCAGCCTACAGCTTTTTTAACACCGAACCCCTGTATTTGATAACCTCAGCAAGAAGAGAAAAAAGCTTTCAAATCCTAGCCCAAACCATGGGCAGGGACAGCTCCCACTAAACCACGCTACCCAAGACCCTGTCCCACCTGGCCTTGAACACCGCCAGGGATGGAGCATTCACAACTTCCCTGGGCAACCCATTCCTGTGTCTCACCACCCTCACAGGAAAGAATTTCTTCCTTATATCCAATCTAAACTTCCCCTGTTTAAGTTTGAACCCATTACCCCTTGTCCTACCACTACAGTCCCTAGTGAACAGTCCCTCCCCAGCATCCCTATAGGCCCCCTTCAGATACTGGAAGGCTGCTCTGAGGTCTCCACGCAGCCTTCTCTTCTCCAGGCTGAACAGCCCCAACTTTCTCAGCCTGTCTTAATACAAGAGGTGCTCCAGTCCCCTGATCATCCTCGTGGCCTCCTCTGGACTTGTTCCAACAGTTCCATGTCCTTTTTCTGTTGAGGACACCAGAACTGCACACAGTACCCCAAGTGAGGTCTCACAAGAGCAGAGCACAGGGGCAGGATCGCCTTTTTCAACCTGCAAACCACTGTACATTATTCAAACCATACTACAGTTTTAAACTATATATTTTATGCTGCCCTTCATCACTGACACAGTAACCAAAGTTTAATGTTGTGTCAAAAAACACATCGAGCCTTCTGCTCTTCATATCCTAGGAAAACACACATCTTCCCACGCTATGTCCAGCTCTTCCCCGCAATACACATCCACTAGCCCGGCGCGCTACAAGACACTCAGCACCGCTCATGAAGTCGCAAAGCACAAGTGCTGCCATTAGGTTAAAGGCAGGCAAGGCCAGGGACCGGCAGCTCCGGGGCAGCCCCGAACCGGGCCGCCAGCCCCAGAGCAGCACCCGGGCAATGGGAAGGGAGCAGCAGCGGTTCCCCTCCCAACCGACTCCTCACAGGCTCTCACACCCCGGTACCTGGGGCCCGCACCCGGTGACCCCCGGCCCACCTCCTGCCCCACAACCCCGAAACGGAGCCAAATGGACACCGAGGCCTCAGCGCAGAGCGAGGCCCTGTCGAGGCGGGGGTGACTCAGCACAACCCCCGCACCAGGCCGGGGAAGCCCCGGAGCTCTCCTCCTCACCCACCGCGAGGGCACCGCCGGCAGCTCCGGACACCCGCGGGGCACGGTCCCGCCGCGGGGACACAACAGCCACAAGAGCCCCACCGGCCCCGTCCGCGGGGCAGCGCGCAGGGACCCGCTGCAGGCCCCGCCGCGGCGCCCGAACTCACCGCGCCCGCGCGAAGGCCGGGCCCGGCCGCGCTCCGCCGGCGCCGGAAGCGAGAGCGGCCGAGGGACCCGAATTGTGGCGGGAGGTGGGTGGTAGCGCGCATGCGTATATCCGCGGGCGGTGACCTCACTTCCTGTTGTGCTCCGCGCCCCACCTCCGACCCCGAGCGGGAGGCGGCGGTGAGTGGCGCCGCGGGGTCCTGGTGCCCCCCGTCTGATGAGAGTGGCCGCATGGCGGGGTGAGAGGCGGCGGGGCCCCGGGGAGCTGGCGGAGCCTTGACGGGGCGTGGGTGGCGGGAGGCTGCGGGGCCAGCGGAGGCTTCGGGACCGTCCGGTAGGCAGGGGCCTGCGGGTGTGGCGGGGGCCCGTGTCGGGTGTGGCGCTGGCCCCTTGTTCGATGCAGCTGTCCCGGGGACGTGCTGGGTTCTAAGGAGCGCGGAGCTGGAGCTCGCGGTGGGACGTACCGGGCTGGTAGGGAGGTTGCCTCCACCCGCGTCACTTCGGTGCTGGACAGACCGTGTGTGTCCGGACCTCGCCGTCCACCCCCGGTTCCTGTGTTTCAGTGTGTTCTGTATGGCACGGCTGGCTGCACGCTGAGCACTCACCCATGGACTCGGAAGCTAAAGATGAAGAGGAAGAGAGTCTGCAAACAGCTTTCAAAAAGCTGAGAGTGGATGCAGCAGGGTGAGTGACAGAAAGCACCGTGTCATGTGTCAGTGTCTTTTGTATTTGGCTTCTGTTATTTTGCATCTCAAAACAAATACCATTTGACAGAGGGTTCCATACTCTGCAAGAGGAAACAACTGCATCGCTTCTGATGAAACGCAGTCATTGCAACTAACAGGCAAATCAGTACTTTATTACTGGCTAATTTTAGCATGATAGCCAACTGAAGTTACACAGTGACTGCCTAAAATGACTTGCCCAAAGCAGCAAACACACTCTTTAACTGTTGTGGTAGCCATAGTGATATAGAAGTTGTTTGGCTGCTGGTAGCTTCAGCTGCTATAGTGGGTGAAGATCTGGTTGGAAAGCGTCCACAGGACACACCAGCGCTTCACAGTGTGCAGGGCAGCTCACTCCCACTGTAAATCATCAGGTTAAATATGAGCACTGATAATTTCTGATTTCAGGGGATTTTGTAGAGTGAAACATCTGCAGACTTTATTATACTAAAAACTTATTCTATGACACACCAGGTATACCAATTGTATGGAGTAAAAGAATGTTCTTTAAAAGTAGGAGTTAATAAAATTATGCAGTCTAACATTTTGTGAGATAGTTCACTAGAAGTCTTTTGGGAATTCACAAAGAGAAAGCTTTGTATCAGTAATTAATGTTGCCTTGTGATTTCATCCCCATGGCCATCAATACTGCGAACTCATTACTTCCTCTGCATGTTAAAATATATTTTGCTTTGCTACTCATTTCCTCTACTTCAGGAGGTCTTCTGTTAAATGTCAGAAAAAAATAGCTGTGCTCTAACAAGGAAGTACTTATTAAGCATACCACTTTTGACGTACTACCAGCGACAGCCTGTACGGAATTCTGGTTGATTCCTGATGACATCTTCTTAAGCTTAAGAAGATCTTGTTTTGCAGACATGTGTTTCGACCAGCTCAAGTCTTGCAACTAATCCCTTAAGATCAACTTTGGGCAGAGTACTTGGGCTCTTCTGCTAGAATTTCAGGTCATTTCTTATGGTTTCCCATCCCATGTTCCAAATCACACATACAGCATCATAATGCAGATTCACATGCTGAGGCATTTATGTTTGGTCCTCCTGTGCATATTTATCTGGGAAATTTAATGAGAAATAAACTAGTAATCTGTTCTGTCTGTTGTACCTCATCCATTTCTCCACTGACAACTCCTCAGGCTGCTGCTATGGGTTCCCAACTTTGCATTTTAGATGAGTAGGAATCTATCTTTAACAACTATTGTCTGACAAGAACATTTGGAACCTAAGTTTACATTCCTTTAATGTATCATTTTGGTACAAATAGGGCATGACATCAGCCTCTGGGTGTTTTGGCCTGCTGTTATTTTATCTCACCTATCTTTAGACACTTCACTGAGGTCAGTATAGTTAAAGTGGTTAGATAAATCTCTGATATCCTGTTTCTAGCCACTCACTATAGGGGAAGCTAAGGCTCCAAACTTCAAACTTCTTAGTGAAGCATCTAAAGCAAATAGGCTGAATTTAGACCTCCAAAGCATCATGTTCAGGCATTACTATAAAGTGGCATTCCCCTTTCTATTCAGATGCATTGCAGCTCTGTCTGTTGGTGACGGGACGATGCTGAGAACAGCAAGAGCAGCTGTGGATGGAGCCAAGCAGCAGACTGTCTGCTCAAAGGAAGTGTGGCATGGGTAAAATACCATTCACTGCGCCGTGCTCATGGTTCTGGTTTGAGACATTTAACACCTGAATACTGTTTCCAGTGCATGTTGTTAATTAGTTGCTTCAACATATCTCTTCTCTCCTTTATTAGAAAACTTCACCAAACTGTTTGATATGGTGTTTTTTAAAATGATTTCAACAAAGACTTTAAAACCAATATTAACTCTTAGGGTACTTAAAACTTTCTTGCCCACTGATTTCCTCAGAAGCCTTACACCTTTGCAACACCCTCTCACCTTTTTCTTGGGTTATTTTATTTCTGTATTGAAGTACCTGGATATTCAGGAGTCTGCCAGCAGCTCCACCAGGTATCCAGGTTCTGCACTACAGTTCAGCTGGGATGACAGAGTATCATTTGGTTAGCAGAGAAGATTTGGGGGAGTACCTTTAAATAAGGGCTCTTTGTAGGAGCCCAGATTTCTTCAGCCTTCTCCACTGTTCCTGTCAGTGATTGAGTGACCAGTCACCTGAGTTTCTAAGCAGAAAAGGAAGAAAGAACCCAACATATTCTAAAATGCTTTTAGCCACAGTTTAGAGCTTATTGAGCTATGGTGTAGAGTCTGGAGTTACCAGCTTGCTCACCTGTTATCACTCTGCAGGTGTGTGAGAAAGCCTTCCAGAGGATCAGCCAGAGCCCCACGTCGCAGGCGCTCCAAGTCTCCCGTCCTACATCCTCCCAAGTTCACTTATTGCAATATGAAAGCCAGCAACCAGCTGAAACACAAAACCCAGGCAGATATGTCAAAGGGTGGCATCAGCTCAGACGTTTTTGTCCCAGCAGAACACAGTACAAAGGACAGGCACGATTCTCACTTTGACACCAGTGATGACAAAACTGAACCTTTGGAAGCTTTCACCTCTGAAGAGCCTTTGGAGAAGTCAAGAGAGAATTGTCCTACTCTCTCCTCATCCTTTGAGACTAGCTTGCATTCTAGCCAGACCTCAGATTTCCAGTCCTTATCCATGCTTAGCAATGGCAGGCAGTGCCCTTGTACGGACAAGAAATGTCAGTGCCAACAGTGGCGAACCATGGAAGTATACTCCTTCTCTGGCTTACGGAGTGTCCTGTCGGAGTGCGAGAAGGCAGTCCTAGGAGTCCACACCCAGTCTCTTCAGAATAGACCCCCTTGTGGGACAGCCTCATCAAGTTCTCCTAGATCTTGTTCTGAGCAAGCTCGAGCCTTTGTGGATGACGTGACTATTGAAGATCTCTCAGGATACATGGAATATTACTTATATATTCCCAAGAAGATGTCTCATATGGCAGAAATGATGTATACTTGACTGAAAGCAATAAGAATCCTGAGTCAGTCTGTGATAACGGTTGGGTTAAATGCCTTGTCAGTGCCATGTTTTCACTGTTGTGTGTTTGATCAGATATTTCTTTGCCTCATACAGTTTAGTTTTTTAATAAAACGAAAAATGGAATATAGTTTCTGAGCTTAGTTCTAAAAAGAATGCACTAAAGTCTGAATACATTAACACAAGCACTGTAGATCAAATGACTCTCCTTGGTTTTGGGTTTGTGCTGTGGATATTCAAGCTCTGTAGTGCTGTTTTCACTATGGGTTTTTTGGGGGGAAAGGCCTTTTTTTTTTTTTTTTTCCTGAAATTTTGCAGTGTTTGGAAAGCTCATTTTAATGTGTCCCAGTACTAAAGAGTACTAAGAGCTACAGCCCTATCCTCATCCTCCTCTAGGGAGAAGGGTGAGCAGGCATTCAGTATTTTGGATAGGATGAATCTCCTTTCCTCAGACACTACCTGGCTTGTTTTTAGTTGGATCCTATTGTGAATTCCTCCTCCCAAACGTGTTGGGAGATCCGTAATGTGCAAGTGTGCGCTTGGACCCTTCCATAAATTAACTAGCTCTCTCTTAAGCAGTTCTATTTTTCTGCAGATAAGCAAAGCTCTTAGAAGCAAGAGTATATTTTGTTATTTGTGCTTTATAAATGGAATAATTTAGAGGGGAGTGAAGCAGGCTAACAGTTGTTTTGGGCCATGTCTCAGAAGTGGAGATGGTGGAACCACCTGTAGAGGTTGCTTCTGAGGATGTTTGGTACACAAAGCAGTATGCAGAGGTAATAAAGAAGCGTGTATCATACAGGCTTTGTGGTGTAGAGCTGCAACATTCCTTCTGATTGAAAATACTGAAATAAAGCATTTTGTTGCTGAGACTTGCATTAATAAATGTTTGTCAAACCCCAGAAAATTAAAGACTGAATAATTTGACTTACACTCATGTCCCCCCAAGACCTCTTCTTTAAAGAAAAACCCACCCTAAAGTGTACTTTCGGTGCCAGCTGTACACACGTGATAAACAACTGTGTTTGGATACTGCAGTTTTTACTTACATGCTTAAAACAGTAGTCAGCAAGCCAAGCAGTCACAAGCAGTTGTACTAAAATAGATTTGAGCAGATATAAACAGTTGGCCTGGTGTCCTGTGCTAGGGAAGTCTTGGACATTCTAGTTGGTAACTGCTGTCTGTAGATTTTACAAGTCATCCCTCAATTGACACTACGAATCCAGGAAGCTCAGATTTTAAAAGCTCAAATAGATCCAAGTTCAGTTAACAGAAGAATACACCTAAAGCTGTTGTTTTGTTCCTAAGTATCATGCAGTTAATTGAGCATGCAATAATTGCTCAGTCTCAAACTGATTTCTAAATGTTCTTGCATGAGTATTTCACTGTCTCCTTCACCTGCCTCTTCCAGCACTGTTCTGCGTACCCACACAAGCGCAGTTCTGGTTTTCTTTGCTTTCCCTTCTTTCTGCCTACAGAAATTCTGGTATAATACACACTTTCCTTCTCAATGTAAATATTTAGTACTTGTTATCTTTGCTGCTGCTGTTTTTCAGAGGCTGTTTCTGCTTCAGCAGTGCCCTTCTGCTTGTGTTTCTGGTTTTTGTGCCCATTTAAAATTGTTTGAAGGTATTGTTTCTAGATGCAGTCTTTCTCCCTTTTAGACTAAGGATTACCCTGGCGAGCCCTTATATGGAATCTGTGCCTTTGAAGCTGATCTTTAACATGCACAAATGCAGGTAGTGATACCCAGTGCTGGATGTCCCCACTCCCCCCTGCAGCCAGAGCCTTGCCAAGGGGTTCCCCAGCAATGGCTCAGCATTGCCTCAGTGCTGCTGTTTCTGCTGTGGAGCACAGTCTTGCTTCTCTACCAAATTATCCCCAACCCCCTGGAAGCACCGAAACCTTCAAGCTGCTGTTACACAGAACTAGTAGTGACCAACACTGCTGGAAAGGCATAAAGCTGGACAACGTGTAGCAGACCTGCTTCTCCTGGGAGAGTGGGGGAACTGGGGGAAACCATGGAGGTTAGACTAGTCCAAGATAGATACACCTTGAAATTTAGGGCTGAGAACTAAATTCAGGTTGCCAGAATGCTGGATGGGAGGGCACATTTCCATATGGTCCTGTGCAGGACAGTAGTAACTAGTAATGAGGGGGGAAGGAAAGGGGGAAAAGAGGCAACAATGCAGTGGGTTTGTATGCAGCCTGAATTAGTGTTTGTGCTAGCGTACACACAGCTCTAGTGCTGCCTGCAGCACAGAAAGGCCAGATACTTGGGGTTATTGACTGCAAGTATCAGGCTTGCAGCAAACATACTGGAATATTGCTACTGATGTTCACACTGCTCAAACCACCTCTTTGGGATGAAATGATGAGCTGTAAGCAAGGCCCAAGCTCAAATATACTGTCCTTCAAAGCCTTCAGCTCCTCTGAGAACACAGTGACTGCTGCCTGCTGCCTGCCTGAAACCTCAAGCCTTACTAGCAAACAGATTGCATCTTCTCTGGGAATGCTGGCACAGCACAATTAACTTGATTGATGAGCATCAGGCTTGGCCTTGGAGCTGGTCTGGTACAAGCAGTGCTGAGCACAGCTCCACCAGCACTACTGCCTCCAGCCAGCCTGGGGTATGTTGTCTGTGCTTGGATGCTCTAGGATGCTCCCAGTCAATCCACGCAAGAATAATAAAGTATTCTGAGAAAGCACTGTTGGGCTTACTGCACTCCCAGGACTTCCCTCTCTACTCCCTATCTCAGGTGACTCAGGCTGTTTTGTTTTCCTTTGCAATGGCTCCCCCAGCACTTTACAAGCCTACTTGTTTAGTTTCAGGACTAGTTCAACCAAAGTGAGATGCAGAAGCGCACCCTAATGCAATGAAGTTTATTTCTCACCTCAGAGAAGCCAAACTGAGTCCCAGCCAAGCTTTACATTGGCAGATGTTCAATCAGGCCACCAGGAAAAAAAGAATTATAAATCTGGAGCTGATTCTGCATCCTGAGTTCCACCTTCTCCTGAACCAGGGAAGGTGCTTCTGTGCCTGCAGAGCCCCGTGACTGACTCCAGCCACCTGCTCTCTCCTCTCTGTAACATTCACATCAGCTCTAAGATGAGACACCCTGGATTGTGCATTTCTGCACCACCAGCACCCACAATCCTGCCCCAATGGCCCCTTCTGCCAGGGCTCTGCCAATGGCACCGGGTCCAACCACACAGCATCCCATGGGGCAGCCCAGCACCGGCCTCTTCCGCAGGCAGGAAGGCTGTGGACAAGAGCTGTGGTGGATCTCAAGGTCACACAAGGTCAGAACACCCGCTAAGAGGGCTGGCACCCATCCTGTGCCTCAAGCCTTGCTCAGGTTAGCAAGCCCAAACCCAGCTACATAAAACAAGCACATCCCGTGGCACCGTGTACCGGCGGGACCCAGAGGGGTGAAGCGACTTTGCCATTTTTATTCCCAACAGCACCGCATCAATTCATCACAAGACGTGCCACTAGATGGGGCTTTCTGGACAGCGGTTCGCGGGAGAGAACCACTTCTGCTTGGGCAAGCTGCTCCTTTCCTAAACCCAAAGGTGTCCCGTTCCAGTGAAAAGAGCCCCCAGAGACGCTTCTTGGGCTGCAAGGGCTCTCCTGCATGAAGCAGGCTGGAGGGGAGGCTGCAGAGCAGAGGGCAGGATGGTTGGTGCTGCACAATGGGGCCAGGTTTTTAAGGCTCAGTTTTCTCTGAGTTTGCAGCCCCTAAGCAGAGGTCAAGCAGGAGCCTTTCCCTATGGGTGTCCCCAAGGCCAGCACAGGGTCTCCTGCAGCACTTGTGATGCGCTGGGGTGGGGAAGGAGAGTGGATTTGAGGGGCTGCTGCCTACAGGTTAGGAGGCAGGATACGGCACAGCACCATCACCCTCCTGTACACCCTTGGGCGCAGGACATCATGACACCAAAGGATTCATTTTTACCTTCCAGTCCCCCCCCAGATGCCTCCTTTCACTATATTCTTGCAGCCAGGCACTAGCTTGGCCCTGATCCCTCCCAATGCTCCAGAATGAACTATGCCTCAGTTTTTCCACTTGAACCAGCTTTCCCAAACCCTCCCATTTCCAACCTCATCAGCTCCAGCACAGGTAGAGATTGGAGCAACACATGGAGGAACGACATTCATATCCACAGCCCTCTCCTCTGTCCATTCCAGAACCTGCCCCTATAACAGGGCTGGTTTTACCCACCAGCACTGGCAGCTAATCCCATGTGTAGGAAACTATCTCCAGGCTACCAGATTTCTGGCAATGGAGCATGACAAAGCCAAGTGTCCCAAAGCACAGCCCCAGATATCCACTTTGCTGTGTCCAGCTGCCTGCACAGGTTTGCCTGCAGACCTCTGGGTGATGCTCATAGTGCCTGGAGAACAGCAGCTCCAGAAGCCCCAGTGCTCTCTGAGTAAACCCAGCTGGCTGGCAGTTGTGACAAAATGTGTAACTCTGGGAATGGCCCCCAGGCATGCCTACCTTGGTGGAGAATGGCTGTCCAGCTTGGCCAGGCACCCCAGGGCTCCAGTACACAGCAAGGGTTGTGTAGCTCTACCCCAGTACAAGCTACATAACACCCATCAGGCACTAATTCATCTGTGCTCTCCAAAATCACTGAATACCTTTAAAGAGCCATGAGGGTTGCAAAGCAGACAAGACGTGCTAGACGTTTTAAAACCCATCAATGAACCTATTTGTTACATATTACAGGATGGTTTGTGTTGGAAGGGACCTTAAAGCTCATCCAGCTCCAACCCCCTGCCACGGGCATGGACACCTTCCACTAGAGCAGCTTGCTCCAAGCCCCTGTGTCCAGCCTGGCCTTGAACACTGCCAGGGATGGGGCAGCCACAGCTTCTCTGGGCACCCTGTGCCAGTGCCAACCTCATAGTAAAGAACTGTTTCCTAATATCTAACCTAAATGTCCCCTCTGTCAGTTTAAAACCCGTACCCCTTGTCCTATCTCTACATGCCCTTGGATGATGATGAATTACTGGTGCAGTTTAGAGGCTGCTTTAGCCAAAATGACACCTCCCACAGATCTGACTCCTCGTGTCAGTGTCTGCCATATCTAAACCAGTCCAAACAAAATCTCTGCTTCAAAATAATCCTAAGGATCTGCAGGGGTTGGAGCTGCCCCGGGTTGCCGAGCAGGCAGGCAGGCAGGCAGGCAGGCAGGGAGGCAGCAGGAGCCTCGGCTGCTGACTCGCCTATCCAAGCGATGCCCGCACGCCGCCGTGGGAGCCCCGCCAGGAGCGGGGACAGGCTGGGATTTCACGCCCCGCACCGCTGCCATCACCATCCTCCTCCTCCTCTGTGAGCCCCGACCCACCGCTGCCCACCCCAGCCGGGGAGATGGAGCTGCCCCGGGAGTGATGCTGCTGGCGGGAGCCCATGTGATGCTGGGCTAGCGGCGCTCGCTCCCCGTCCCTCTCCCCGCTGCTCGCAGGCTGTCATGGCGACTCCCAATAATGTTACTCCCACCAACTGCAGCTGGTGGCCCATCTCGGCGCTGGAGAACGACGCGGGGAAATCCACGGAAGGGGAGGAAAACCAGGACTCGACCGACCCTGCTCTCAAGTCCCAGGACAGGCTGGTTCTGTACCACTGGACCCAGTCCTTCAGCTCGCAGAAGGTAATAATAACCATCACCCGGCCGCGGGTTCCCGGGGAAGAATCGTCTCTGGTCCCCACGACATCCCCTTGCCTCAGGAGGATGGATGCAGTAGCAGGGAGAGCAAGGGATTAATCCCCAAGGCTGGCTTGGGCAGCAGCGTGTGGCCGAGAGCTCTTTTGTACCCGTGGTTCTGCGCTTTAACAGCATCTGCCTGGGGAGGGGAGGGATGGGATGGGGGGGCTCAGCCAAATCCTGCTTTTGCTTTGGGATCGGGGCTTGCACCGGGAGCCGCCTGGCTTTGTGCTCGCCCACAGCCCCGCTCTGGCGTGGCCAGGAACACAAGACAAAGGCTGAGCTGGGCCTGGGACCACCCTGCTCCCACCTCCTGCCGCTGGGAGAGGCAGCCCCCGAGCCAGGCACCTTCCAGGGAGCAGATCCTGGCACGCAGCAGTGATTTACCCCTGTCACTGCAGCAGCGTCCTGGGAATTCCGGGCGCACCCCAGTGAAGAATCACATTTTCCAGGCAATAGTAAATGCTCATTTTGCAGCACAGCAGCTGTGTAGCAAACCCTGCCTTCTCCTCCCAGCCCAAAACCCCCATCGTTCCCATGCCATTAAGATTATATGGGGAATGGGCTATTGGGAGGGGTGGGAAAACACAAAGTTCCCCCTATGTAAGGCCCCCCTCAAGCCCCACAACCCTGGGCAGAGGTGCCCCTACTTGCAGGCACAGATTCCTACTTGCAGGCACAAAGAACAGGGAGGACGCCCAATGCAGCAGGGTGGCTGCACATGGTCGGCTTCACGGCTGCCAGCACTGGGTGACTAATGGGCTTCTGGTCCGCACCAGCGAGGGATGCTCTAGCCCGGCTCCCTGCCTCACGCTGGGCTTGCTGCTGTTCTGTGTCTTGCTCTTTTGGCTGCCGGCAGCAGGGAGGCAGCAGATAAAGCACTTCTTGTGTGGGGCTTCCTACAACCAGCCTCCCTTCTGTGGGAATGGGGCTCAGCACAACCGGACCCACAGCACCTGCTGCTATGGCAGCTCCAGCACCGCTCCAGGCTTTGCTTTTGAGGTCACTTGCAAGGAAAGAGCGTTTGCTGGGAGGTGGATGAGCACAAGCTGCTGGGATGAACAGTGCAGGGTGGGAGATGCACAGGACCCCAGAGTTCTGCTCAGGACAGGCTGCAGGGGAAGGTTTTCCTGCTCTTCCCCATGAGCTGCTCAGAGCCATGCTCAGGGGCACTGGGCTCTTTGTGGGATGGATCCTGAGCTCCCTATCAGGATCTGGCCTTGTCTGCAAAGGGATTTATCGAGTTTTATGTCCAGCACTGGCTTTTTACACAAGATGCCTTACTGCAGCCATGGCAGTGCTGTTGGGGTACAGGCAGGGTCCATCACCCATGGCTGGGAGCCCTCATCATGGGAGCACTGGCAGGGGCTCCCTTTGCTCACAGACACCAGGGTTATGCCAGGAGCACTGCCTCATGCCAGGCATTCAGCCTCAGCTCTTGATAGCTGAACAGGGAAACACACAGGGAGCTTGGGGCTGGATGTCCCACCTGGTCCTGGCTGGGGTTTATAAATCAGCTGTGGTGAAAAGGCTGAGAGCAAGTTGCAGTTGAGGGACCCAGGCTTTTACTGTTTGACTTGAAAATTAAAGGTTCATTTGCCAGTCCTGTAAATACTTAATGACTTAATTCCCCAGGAGCTCTGAAGTACTCATAGAAATCCTTATATTTGCTCAGTTGTATTTTTAGCTGCTGCTAGTTGGAGGAAAGCAAGCGCTTTTCCCCTCATTCAGTGGTTCTGTAAATCATGGCTGTCTCACATCCCCCAAGCAGGGTTCTTTTTTGAGTGCTTGACACACTTAGTTCATAACAGTCAGTTTTTTATAACCCAGAAGCCTAAAATGCCATCCCTTAGTGCTTATTCAAAACCATCTCAAGCACAGAGCAAATCAGGATCAGCCCTGAGGGCTGGACGTAGGTGATAGGGATGGGAACAATGGCCCACAACCAGCTCCACTCCTGCCCCTCCACACTGCTGGACTCAGCTTTCCCACTGTGAGGTGGATGGGGGCATCCCAGCAGTGCTGCTTGCTGGGCTGGGACTGGACTGGGCCACAGCAGGGGAAGGCAGCAGGTTTGGTACAAGAGATGCAAAGATGATGGGTGATGCTCTCAGGCCAGCAGTAGTGTGGAAGACAAAGGATGCTGTGTAAGATCACAGGGGCTCCTTAAAACCCTCCACAAAACAGACCCTTTCCCCTGCTCAAAACATGCCTGGTAAAGCCAGAGCCTATCCCCAAGAGCAGAACATACCTGAGTTAGCATCCAGGCCTCCTGCAGTCAGTCAGGCTGTACAACTCACTGGATGGAAGTAAAAAGCATAACATTACTACAACCTCTACTTCCTCCTTGGGTGGGTGCAGGTTATATTGAGACCCACATCAACATCACTGATTACCCCCAGCTGGGGACCTGCCACTTCCCTCCTCCCACTGCCAAGGTTTGGGCTTTCCATCCCTTCCTCCTGTTGCAGAAGCCACCAGTGACCAGGAGGAGGATGGTCCATTATCCCACAAATCAAGAGTGGGTTTGGGTCTCCCCTGTTTGCTGAGAATGCAAATCCTTGCTCAACTGCCTGGATTTTGCTTGGTTTCTGGCAGGATGAGCCTGTGTCCTGGCACATCACTGTGCTGAAGCAGTAGTGGAGGACCAGGGAGATGCGATGGGGTGATGGTGGGGCTGGTTTGCTCTGAGGGCTCTGGGGACCAGCTCAGTGTGTGGGGCTGAGCCCTTTCTCCCTCGCCTCTTGCCCCAGGTGCGGTTGGTCATTGCAGAGAAGGGGCTGCCCTGCGAGGAGCGGGACGTCAGCATGCCCCTGATGGAGCACAAGGAGCCCTGGTTCATGCGGCTCAACCTGGGGGAGGAGGTGCCCGTCATCATCCACAGGGACAACATCATCAGCGATTACAACCAGATCATTGACTACATGGAGAAGAACTTCACGGGAGGTAAGGAGGGGGGGGCTGCATCTCAGGGAAAACTTGGGTCTAATCCAGATGCTGTTCATCAAATACATCCACTTTTTCCTTTAAAGTTTCACCTTTAACCCCAGAAGAGGAGGAAGCCACCATCCTTCCTCAAACTTCTGTATTCCCATGAAAATGAAGGATTTCCATCAAAAATCCCCAAACATCCCTTGTTTGGGCTGAAAGGGTCAGGGGAGGTGTAGTTGGATCCCCCCTTTTTCTCCTTTAGAGGCCACATTCCCAAACTGGACCATTTCTCCTTGTCCCCATGGTGCATGGTGGCATTTCACCAGAACCACAGCTGGGGCACAGAGAATAGGAATACTTCTGGGCTTGGCCACCTTTGTGCTTTGGCCTCAGGTAATGGTATAAAAACACCATAAACGGCTCTGCTGAGAGAAGATGGGTTTGACCCGGGTGCTGCTGCCCCTCTCTCCTTCCTGGATGAGCCCTGTGTCACCGGCCGTGGGCAGGGGACCCTGGCAGCCCTGGTGCTGCTGTGCCTCAGACAAACCACCTCTTTAGAACCAAAGTCAGCAGTGCTGGGGACCATGGGAGGATGATGTGACACAAACCCAAAGGAAGGGCCAGCTGACAGAGTGGAGCTCATATTCCCCCTGGAGCAGGGCTGCAGTCAGCGGCTGGCTCAGTCTGGCACATGAGGATGCTGAGACTGTGCTTGAAGATGCTTGCTTCTCCCCAGCATCTCGCATCCCTTCCTCTTCCTTTCCCCAAACCTGCCGGATGTCAGGCTGAGGAGGCCACAGAGCTGAGCAGGGAGCTTGGGCTGTGCCATCACAATGTTCACCCCAGCATTCATCCCCCTTGCAACAGAAACATCAAAACCATCTCAAAATAGCTCTCGAAGCAAGGGCGTCTTGCCAGCTCAGCTGCTGTCCTCTCCCGGCCCCGCCACGGTGCTGATGCTCAATGGAGGCAGGAGCATCACTTGCTGGCAGGGCAGTGGGGATAGGATTAGTTGGGAGCAGCCCATGCTGGTGATGGCTCCCAGGGAATGGCAGCCCCTTTCCCACCTGGCTGCAGCCCCTGGGATAAGGGGCGGTGTAGAGCATCAATCCATGGGCTTCACTTGGTCTGTGTGAAGGGCAGGTGGTCCAGCATATGTGACAACAGGCTGTCCCCAGCAGGAGGGGGACTGAGTGCTGCCGTTGCTGGGACACTCCTGCCATTGAGACTTGCCAGCCAGGGGCAAATTCTGACCTTTTCACTGAGAAACAGAGAGGGGAAGCTCCAGGGAAGAGTGCTTGGAACACTCCCTGCTGTGTGCTCTGCTCCGAGCCATCTCCCAGCGGCTGCCTGGCAAAAGCAGTATCAGGATGCTGCAGTGTTGGTCTGAGGAGGAATCACCCACCTTGCAGAAACGTGCAGAGCTTGAAAATGCCTTTATAAGGAAGTGTATTCGCTGAGTTATATTTTCCCCTGGGCTGGGAGCACGGGCTTTTCCAGCTGTAAGACACGCTGAGGTTCAGCTATCAGTGAAGAGTGGTGTGATGAGCAATGCTTTTCTTTCTCCAGCAAAGCAGCGAATAGTGCCAATAAGCCATCTTTGTGCATGCTTCTCACTAGGGCTTTGCCCAGCAGTGCCAAGAAACAACTGATGAGGTGGCTGGTGGCACCACATCTCAGATCCTAACACAGGAGCTTCTCCAAGGGCTGCACCTCAAGCCCCCATCCCACCTTTGCATAGCCCATTGCTTGCTGACTACATGCATCAGCAGCCCATTTGTGCAGGTCTGCCACAGCATGCAAAGGCAGGGTGAGCACCATCCACTGAGAAACCTCCCTGGGACATGCTGAAGGATGCGGGCCCATAGCCAGCACACCGCTATTTCATTGTGGTTGCTCCATCTGGCTGCTGCACTGGTCGCTCACTCTGGGTGTGCTGGTTTCCAGCCTGTCAGGCACTGGCCGGGAGCCCTGAGGAAGGAGCACACAGGCTGTAGGTTGGGTGTTATCAGTTCATTCAGCCATTTCTCAGATGGAAAATCCCTGCTTGGAGAGCCGGAGTCCAGGCAGCGAACAGAACTGTCATTTGAGGCCCTTAATTTAAGGGGCCGTGTTGGCCACATCAGCCAAAGTCCTTCTGCTGATGCACCTTAACTTGGTCCAAGACACTGGCACACAGTGAGCCCTGCACTGTGGACAGCATGTGGGCAAACAGCTTTACTGAGTCCAGGTGGTAAAACTCACTCCCTATTAACTGCTATCTGCAAACGCCATAAACATTTATGATCCCATAAAAAAAAGAGGACCTGATATTCTTGGGGGAGACACGAGCAACATTTCACTCCTTGTGGTGTCATCCTCCATGTATTTTGAGCTGAAAGTGTAATAAAAAGATCACGATGCAAACTGCCATCCATAGAAAATGAATTAAACCCAACAAGGTGAGGAAGAGCAGAGCTGGCTGGGGTGAGGGATGCTCCTGCTGAATACAGAGGGAGGGTGTCCTGGGCTCCTTCGTTGGTCATTTACTCCCCGATTACCTGTTTTGAATGGGACTTTCAAGGAAGCCCAGGAGAATTAGGAACCTCATCACCACTGGTGTAACAAAGTCAGGAGATCCCAAACTCAGACCCCCCCCCCCCATGTTTTAGCTCTTTTCCTCAGATCAGGAACATTTTGTTCCCTGTCTAAAAGATGTGAAACCACAGTGTACAGTTCAGGGGATGCAGAGGTGAAAGGCACGCTACACTGAGCTCCTGATGACACAAGGGCTGGGTAACAACATGCATGCACCTCCCTGCGGTCCTGCAGGTTTCCCATGTCTGGAGATGGGCTGGACGTGCTCCTGGCCAGGATGGGCAGCAAGAAGAGGGCAGAACACGGGGCGCTGTTTTGAGTTACTGAACCACTGCAGCCGGCCCTGCTTGGATGCAGCTCCGCAGGAGTGCACCCCGCTGTCCAGCACAGGCTAATGAACCACTAACGAGTGTCTGAGCCCCCCGGTCCCGCTAACAGCTTTCCCTTTGCTCCCGCAGAAAACGTCACGCAGCTGATCCCAGAGCCGGGCAGCCTCCTGCACTCGCGGGTGCTGCAGTACCGGGAGCTGCTGGACTCGCTCCCCATGGATGCCTACACACACGGCTGCATCCTGCACCCCGAGCTCACCACCGACTCCATGATCCCAAAGTACGCCACCACTGAGATCCGCAGTAAGTCGTCTCTCCAGCGGGGCTGCCCGGGGCTGGTGCCAGTGGGATGGCTCCTTCAGCCCAGCCAGCCACCCTGCTCATGCTCATCTCCCCTTCCCACCAATGCACACAGGAACAGAGCTGGGAAATGGCCAACCACAGCTAATTGAGGAGCTTCAGACACCCTGTAGAGGCTTCTTAACCCTGGGGGTGTCTGGCCTCCCATGGGCCATGCATACTTCTCACCCAGCTCTTTCTGGGGCGTATGAATTCATTCCTTCTCCTGCACATCCCCTCTCCCTCCAACAGCTCTAATGCCAAAGGTGGGAGGGTACAGCCAGATTGAGTTGCAGATAGTGGATGAATCGGCATAAGACCGTGTACCTGACCTTCAAGCCCTCATAAAACATTGAAGACGCTTAATATAACTCAATGGCGAGGATTGCTCCTGGAGAGAGTCCGTCGTCAGAAAAGTGACCTTCTTAGGATGGCACCAGCATGCCCCACGTCTCTTCCTCCAAGCACTGCCCATAGCAAACACCCGCTCCCTGACTGTCCTTCTGTTCAGCTGCTTGGGTCCCTCTGGGATGGGATGCACTCATACACAAGCAGGCTGTTTCTGAGCTGTATCTCACGGTCTGCCCTGCCTCTGCTGGCACCCTGCATCGGCAGCTTTCTCCATGTCACCAAGCATCACCTCCTCCCCTAGACCTTGGGCAGATACAGAATGCAGAGACAATCCCCTCCTCAAAATGTGCTGCTGTGATGGCTTCACATCACCTCAGAGCACTCTGCTGGAATCCTTAACAACATCTCTCCATCCAAACCTCCTCGCTGGAGGCATTTTTCCCAAATCCCTTCAATGGAGGGGCTGTGGGGCAGGTTCATGGCCACAGTGCTGGTGGTGCCCTCCCTCTCCAGCACATTCCCTACACCCAGGCAATAGCTTGGCTTCCCCATTGCAGTGGACAAGGCAAAACTAAGTAGCTGTGTTCCCAAGGAAACCTGAGGGCCAGGCTCTCAAGGGGAACAGGGGAATGAAACCAGGGTGATATCCACATTTCCCTCCAAGTTACAGCCCCAGGAAACTGGCTGGGAGCCTTAGTAAGCGTGAGCATCAGCAGAGCCAAGCCCTTGTTGGAGGGAACAAGGAGGAAGAGACAGATGGTCCCTGGCAGGAAAGAGATAAACCCAGCTTTGGGTAGTTTATGTTGTCCTTAAGGTGTTAACTCTACATCTGGTATTCTATTCTTCCATTGTCTCTGCTCCTTTCTGTGGGTTAGCTCCCTTGTATGAAGCTCTTTGCACCCTCCCTGTACCCTGCGAGGGAGGAAAGTGGGCATCATTCCTGTGCTTGCAATGAGCTTTATGCTACCACATTGCATTCCTGGACACCGAGCCTCAGTGGGACAGCTTCATTTGGGAGAGAGCATCCCCTCCATGCAGCTCCATGCCGTGCTGCTCTGCACGCACACCTACACATGGGCAGCCAGCGCAGACATCCCAAAGGATCGACCTGGGGATGGAGAGGCAAGAACCAGGTTATGGGCGCTCAGGGATGTTCTTAAAACATTAAGAAACAGGCAGAGATCTGCTAGCAGCTCTACTGTGATCCAGCAGAGGAAATGAAGAGTTGACCCTGCACCCCAAAACCTGCAGAGCTGGGACTCATCATGGCCAGGGATGGGGAACCTGCCATAGCCCACAGCCAGCACTGTCCTGCTGGGAGCGGATGGGAGGATGTGCGATGCCCCAATTACCCACCCATATGGCAGCAGCAAGCCACATGAATTCCACCCGTTTTAGCTCTTGGGGGTGTTTTTCTTGGTGCCACAACACTATTTTGCACGCAGGATGAGGTGCTTTGCTACCAGACACAAGGTCTGTCCCACCCCTGCCAAACACAGCCCCCACGCCTGCTGTCTGTCTCTCCCCAGGGCATTTAGCTAACGCCAGCACGGAGCTGATGAAGCTGGACCACGAAGAGGAGCCACAGCTGTCAGAGCCCTACCTCTCCAAGCAGAAGAAGCTCATGGTAAGTGGGTCAAAGCCACACACACCTCTGCTGCAGGGCGGGGACCTGCCATAGGCACCTGGTGCCTCGTGTCCCTGCATGTTCACAGGGACACATGCCCATCCATCCATCACCCATCCTAACCCTGCTCTCCATCCAGGCCAAGATCCTGGAGCATGACAATGTGAACTACTTGAAGAAGATCCTTGGTGAGCTGGGGATGGTGCTAGATCAGATCGAGGCAGAGTTGGAGAAGAGGAAACTGGAATATCAAGGTAAGCGCTGGAGTGCATTTACGGGGTGTTTTATCACACAAGGATGAGGTGAAACCCCAGGAACTGATGAATGCGCTCCATGAGGCAACCACCAGTGGCACTAGGACTTCTACTGGGCCCTCCAGCAAACCACTGCTGCTTCAGGGAGCCCTCACACCACTTGCCACAGGGGACAGCAGGACCCTGTCCTCACATTGCTCCGTGGGAGCCCCAAAGTCATCGCAGGGTGGTGGCAGGTCCCCTCCGCCCCAGCAAGTGACTGATGCTCTGGCTGGTTTGGGGAGGAACAGGCTGGCCCTATTGCACTGAGGAGAGCACAGTGCTGGAAGCACAGGGCTGGGACCAGCAGCACATCCCAGTGGAGTGTGGGAAGGCAAACCCGACAGGAATTTGAGGGGCCCTGGAGGGGTGGGAACCTTACAGGACCTGCGTCAAACACCAGCGGGTAGGAGAGGAGCAGCACCAGCCACCCCCGACATCAAATACGTGCTGCTGGGTGCCTGCTGAGAGCTGCCCTGGCAGACAGGGATGCATGGGCACAGCTGGGCACTGCTTGTCCCACTGTCACCCCGGGATGATGCCATCACCCTCCTGTCCCTGCTGCTTGCAGGGCTCAAAACCCCAGCCCCAGTGCCATGGAGCCAGGTCCAGAGCGGAGCCCAGAGGCAGTTCATCAGGGAATGGCCCTGGAGCTGCCCTGGGCTGCGGGAGCCGTGCGTCACACTTGGGAACGCACCAAAGGGCCCACAGAGGTGCCAAGGTCAGGCCCTGCAAGGCACTGGGTTGGGGATTTGCTGAGAGCCCTGATGCAGTCACAGCAGCACCCTGTGTTGCTCTAATTGCATTTAACAAACACCCTCATTAACTAAGAGCCGAGATCGCTCAGCAGAATTCAGCCTAATGAGGTGCTCTTGGAGATCATCCTGAGTGCCTGCAGCAGAGGAATGGCTGATGCTGCCACCAGCACCCAGGCACACGACTGCCTTTGGTCCTTTGCATGCCCTCTGCTTGGGGCCCTCAGACTCCCCCCGCTGTGGCTGTGGCCAGGTCAGGATCTCAGCAGCGGGCACAAGCACCAGCCCTTTGGCAGCATCCCAGGAGCTGCAGTGCAGCAGCTCTCCTCCCATCCAGTGTGCAGAGATGCAGGCAGGGCAGGAGGGTGAGAGATGCTGCAGGAGCACAAGGCGAACCCCTCCCACAGGCACCCCATTGGGCTGGGACAGGGTGGTCTGGGCTGGGGCTGCTGGGGATGCAAGGGGAAGGAGTTGCTTTTGCCCATGCTTCTGCCCTACCTTGGTGCTGGGAAGGGGTGTGAGGGGCTGTGGTACCCACAGCCAGGTCCAGACCTCAACAGGGGCTGCAAGCCCAGAGTCAGGAGGGATAGGACCAGATCACAGCTGTCTCCCAAGGTCACCATCCTCACCATGTGCTTTACTCCTTCACCCACAGCAGTGCCTGGGAGGGAGGCAGCCACCCCAGCCCTGCTACACTTACCTGGGAGCTGAAGCATCCTCAGGGTCCCGCAGCACCCCTACGATTCATGAGTCACTGAAAACATTTATCGACTAATTAGGCAGAGGCAATCTGTGCACTTGGGCAGTGCCTCCAGCAGGATTAGGCAGGCTGCCAAGTGACACAAATGAGGGCTGCTAATTACTGCTAATTCCCCTGGCCTGGCCCTGCAGGCAGCCCTGCAGCACCAGTGCTTGCACAGGGGTGCAATAAAGGTGCTTTCCCTGATAGAACAGCCACAGGACAGTGGGAGAGCCTCAAAATTAAGGCTTTGGTGTAAAGCCAGGGGCTGAGGCTGGATGGGGTCAGGTTTTGTGCCCCTTCTGCTGTTCTTCTTTACCTGCAGCTTCCTTCATCTTCATCCCAGCCCTGCTGCTTGGTATTGAAAGGGCATCAGAGAAGTGCTTAACACTATCCTGGCTTGAGCCCAGTTCTTCCAGCCTAACAACGGCTTGGTTTATTTCTGGAGGCTCTCTGGTGAGGTTATTTCCAGGATTGCCCATTATCAGGGGCTGTCAACACTTTGATGTCTGTCTTCACACCCAGCATTCGCACCGAGCCCTGCCTTCCCCCAAAAACCTGGCTCCTGGCACAGACATGCTGCCAGTTTGGGTGTCCTGGAGCAGGAGAGGGGACAGAGGAGGCAGGACCTCCCTGACAGTGCACAAGGAGAGCAGCCAGGCTGGGCCAGCAAGTGGTTTTAATTCCCAAGGATTTCTCACATCCCTGAAATAGGGCAAGTTAACATGACACTCCTGAAACAGCTCCCAGTGCAGCCAAGGACAAACACTGCTGCTCCTCCTGAGCACTAACACAGCAGAAAGGGGCACTGCACTGCATCTTCCTTTAAGGGGGAGCCAGGGGCCCTTTTCCATCTCCTGCTGCTCTTAACCTGGGAGGGAGGCAGCAGAGCCATGCATCTTCACATGGGCTTCAAATTATCATGTCGTATTCCTATATTTTGGACCCACATATCATACATCACATAGGTGGAAGTCTTTTGAGAGGTCGGAGAGCTGAGACAGAGCACACCAGGTCTAATGCAAATGCTCCTGCCTTTGTGGATCTTCTGAGCAAGCCTTTAGGTGCCTACCCAAGGGTTTCATTTTACCCTACTTACCTGACCCTTTGCTTGTCTCTCCAGGGCAGAAATGTGAACTTTGGCTCTGTGGATGCGTCTTTACTTTGGCCGATGTCTTGTTAGGAGCCACCCTGCATCGCCTCAAGTTCCTGGGACTCTCTAAGAAATACTGGGAGGATGGCAGCAGACCTAACCTACAGTCCTTCTTCGACAGGATACAGAAACGCTTCGCCTTCAGGAAAGTTTTGGGAGATATACACACCACGCTCCTCTCTGCAGTGGTACCCAATGCCTTCAGGCTGGTCAAGCGGAAACCTCCCTCCTTCTTCGGAGCCTCTTTCCTGATGGGATCTCTAGGGGGAATGGGATATTTTGCGTATTGGTACTTAAAGAAAAAATACATCTAGTGCTGGCTGCTTGGTGTTTAGTTTGGTGTCTCTGTGCTGTGTCAAATTATGATGAAGCCTCAGTAACTGTAATGAAATTTGAAGCAAGGTAATGAATAATTATGTTGTTTAATGTAACATTCCATAGTCTAGAAGTAGAAACGTATACTGCAAGGAAATAAGACAACAACAACAACAAAACAATGCGTCAACTTGTAAATGCCTTTTTTAGGTTTAAGTATTCAACTCCAGCAGAGGTGCAGGGGCTCACGGGCTCAGCCGTGTCCACTGGAAAGCGACGCCACCTCCAGCGCCGGCTGGTTCCAATGGGAGAGATGGGAACCCCGGGAAGTCCCCAGCAGCCAACTTAACCAGTGGGACTTGGAAACTCAGCCCTATATGTTTGTGTTGCCAACTTGTTCACTGGCCACATTTCACACACGCAGGTAGAAGGGACTCTATTGTAGGAGATGTCATGATGCGCTCGGAGGCGCCCCTGGGAGCAGGCGCAGTAGCTGGTCACAGTCCAGGTGGATTTGTGTTCTTCAAGTGTCCATTTTCTTGATTCTTCTCATCAAAAGGAACGTTTTTTATTGAGCTGCTCTTAGGATGTACCCACTTTGTACGTCTGGGGTTTGTGCACTTTTTTTTAAGGAATTTAATGTCCGTCTTTAACTGCCGCACTTTTTTCCTGAGATAACCCATTTTGACTCCATCCTCAATGTCAGCACACAAAGGAAATTGTTGTTTTAAGCCTTCTGGCTTTGCCTCTTGAGTTTTCCCTCACGGATTTGCAAAGCATCTTTCACCGACTGAGCCTATCTGGACTCTGAAGTACCACCACTTTCAGAACTCCTCAGCGCTTTCCTGAAGGCGCTTTGGCTTTCTCTTCCATTGGGAGCTTTTTCCTGTCATTTCCTCGCTGTGTGTTTTCTTAGGGACACTTTGCACAGAATCACGATGACTTTCTTGTGCCTTTTGCATGCTGGAAAGAATAAAGGGCCTCACTGCTACTCATGCTTTGAAACCTGATATCCTCAATAAACCATATGGGAGGAGTAATGGCTTCACATTCCTAAATGGGTTCAACATCCTTCTAGTCCTATCTTAAAATATGCCCAAGGGCAGAGGGATGTTCGTGTGGTTTGTGCGTTGCTATAAAACCTGCATGGAAGCAGTGTGTATTCCTCTTCCCAGGCACTCATTCCTGTAAGCATTCAGCCTGCTAGGATCAACTCTGGATGGTCTGCTGAGTGCTCCAGTGATCCCTAGCTGCATCTCTAGGCTGGGAAGCATATGCCAAGTGCAGCTGAAGTAATATGACCTGCATTTGCCTCCAACTCGAGAATTATCTTTGTGTATTTGAAAGCAGCAGGATTTCCCAGGAGCTTTGGTTCTTGGTACAACCTGGCAGCCATAGAACTGGGACTATTGAGCGGGAATTACAGGGGATGAGCACATTGTGATTAGGCAGCGCAGAATGCACAAGTTTATGCTGTGCTGGTCACAGCTGTGTAGGCTGGTCTGATGGGCTTCTGGGATGCCGCAGTCTGTGCAGCTGCAAAGGTGCTGTGGTATCCGTGTTACCCCTGCAGTGATTACAGCTACACTGGAAATTGGTGCGTGAGAACCCAAATCCATCCCCTGCACACGCAGAGCAGGAACCTGCAGCTGAGGCTGCTGGGTGACATATCAGACGCACATTGTCCCAAATACAGTTACAGATTCGCTTTGTGGTACCGGTGACATTGGAAGAAATAAGTTATTTTGGTCCTTGTTGAAGAGGGTCCCCTGAGGTCATCCTGTCTGCTGCAGCTGAAAGATGTAACAACACACATGGTCCATCTGGTCCATTGGCCAATACTAAGTTATAAATTAAATTGGAATCATAAAGGTACACCGAGATGAAACCCTTACCCAGATTTCACTCTTTTACCTTTGTCCCTTGTCCTATATGCATATTCCCTGATGATTTCCAAAAGCTGATAAAATGCCCGTGCCTGGTGTAGAAAGGAATATTAATGGGGGTACAAGGCCAGGAAACCCAGAGAGAACAAGAGCAAATATTCACTCCATTCCCAGGATTTCAGCCCAAGAATGAGGCAGAAGGAAGCTGCTTACTAAGACTGCTGCTGGTTACTTTGCTTCTCCTTTGCTTTTTTAAACCAAAGAATGAATGCAAAATCATGGAGCAAATCAGAACTCTAAGCACTGTAGAAAATAGGTGTCAGTTTGGTTTGGAGCACACTTAAAATGCAGCTGCAATAAGGAAGCCAAACAGAGCAGCAGCTGGAACAAGACACAAGACACAGGTCTGTTCGGACCAACACGAGAGAGCTGTCAGTAGTGTTGCTTCCTGAACTGCTGGGAAGCCATAGATGCCGTCGTGATTGGCTTTGTACAGGTTCTCAGCTAGGAATAGTCACTAACAAGCCTTTGGTTTGGAACAAATGAAAAACAACAGCAGAAATCAGTGGAGTCAGTGCCATTCCCTGTCTCTGAGCCTTGGTTCCCTACTGTGGTAATGAAAAAATACCAGGACTTGGCTCCAGGGAAAAGCAATCTGTGAGAGTGCTAAAAGACAATTACTGTGGCAGGCAGAGGCTGGACTGATGCTCAAAACCATGCTGAAACAAAGAGGAGATGAATGTTACCACGCTGATCAATCCAGATTAGTGAGTTGCTATAAGCAGCCCTGTGGTGATTACAGGCTGTCATTATAAAAAGTTGCTTTTGCTTTAGCTTATCTGAGCCTAATCAGGCCTTTTTTGCTCTAGTTCCACTTAAAATGGGAGACCTCTGCATTACATGGACATGGGACCAGGCACTGGCCCAATGTTCACTGCCCAAGGTGCTTTCTATACAGACAGATGTGAAAATGATGGCAAAAAAAACCCTGTTTTCTCACTCTAGGACTTGACATTTTACTCTCAGCAAGGTGTGGGGTAACAGCAGCAGCCCAGGGGCAAGGCTGGAAGGTGAGGCACCTTACAGGTAGTATTTGGAGCAAATAGCTGCTCTAGGACACCTTACGATTCACTGCTGAGCAATCCAGTAGCAACACTGAACAACAGAGGGAATGGCTCATGCTGTATCTTGCCCCATACTTCTGGGAACCTGGTCTGACCCTGGTTAAGGTCCTTCTTCAGCTTTACCCTAGACATCCTTATTTACCCAAGCAGGTTTTTATGCTTTCAAATCTCTGTGTTTCAGAGGCAAATGTGCTTTTAGGCACCTCAGGGCCTTAAAATCTGTGTCTGTGCTGAAATGTGGAGCTTGCAATTATCAGAAGGAATAAATCAGAGGCTACTTGGCAAGTCCAAGCCCTTCCGAGCACCTCCGAGACGGAGCTTCATGGCACTGAGCAATCTCACAAGGAGCAGTCGCTCCCTCCTCTCTCCCAAGCCTCGTGTTTAATAAGCTCCCAATGGTCAGATTTGTAGAACTACAGCTTCCAAACCCCTTTTCCTCCTATGGGTTTTGCTCCAAAGACTCAATTATGAAAACTGAACATGTACATGTCAGCCTCGCAGCTGCCTGGCAGCTTTCTCCTTTGCTTGCTGAGGGATGGAGAAGACCTCTCCACGCAGAATAAAGGATTTCAAGCCCAAGCTTGCCAGAGGACAGGGAACCCACCACAGAGCCTGTCACAGCCTGCAAAGAAGTTGAGATCAAGGGCTGCCAATGCACAAAAAACCATCCTCACCACACCACTGCAGTTCAGTAACCTGGCCAGGGGGAAGAGGAATGGTGTAAGAGCTGCTCCTTCAAGCAAGGGGAAGCTTTCTGCTGTGAAAATAAAAGGAGGACTTCCCTGTGTGAGAACAGCAAACAGAAAACGTTAAGGCTTGTGAAAATATTTAGCAACAGGTTGTGTTTGGTGGCATTCACTGGCATTATTTAGATCAAAGCCAAACCCATGTAGATGGGATCCACCATGCAGGAAATGACAGCAACCAAACCTCTCAGGTTTCTGGGATATATATGGGATTAAAATGAGATAATATGATAATGATACTTTGAGATGGCCAGGGATAATGTAAAATATGATAATATGGGATTAAAAAATAAATAGCCAAAGAACACGACCCCCTGAAGGATTTCCTAAACGTGATCACACTGCAGAGGTTTCAGACCAAACCATTTCCAATACTGTATCTACAGTTTTAAGCAGTAGTGAACACACTGGAACTTGTGTTCTCAGATAAAGCACAGTCGTGACAAACCAATTCCCTATCTTCTCCTCTCACGCTGATTTCCAAATGTGCCCAAATGACACATTTACTGTCGTCGTCTTTCTCTCTCCATTTTACACGCTTTCCTCTGAAGGATTAAACAGAGAGAAAACAGTCTGCTTTAAACGCCTCGCAGTGAAAGGCAGGACACCACATATACCATAAATAATGCAGATGAACAATCATGCTGTCAGAACACAGAAGTCTATCACTGCAGCTGCAGAGGCTGCACACTGCAGTAACCTATGCTGCAGGCCAAGGCTCTACCTGCAGATGCAACTGCTGTTGCTAAAGCACACCGTTTCTATTTCCCTGTGATTTTGATGCTGAAGAGCATCAATGAGCAAAGTGTCAACCTCCACCCACCCCTCGGGAGCTCGCAGATTTTCCTTCCTTCGTGTCATTCTCTGCACAATGACCTACTTTCAGCTCCTTTTACCTTTGCCCCTCTGCTGTCCTAACCCTTTCCTCTCTCCTGGGCTCCCCTGAGCTCCCCTTTCCGCTCTCCTGCCACACACTGCTGGGGACATTTACAGAGATGCTTCTGTTGTCAGGAGCCCCCCGGCTGGGAAGCTCTGCATCAGTGAGCACAGCACCTCCCGTTCCCACCCTCTGAGAGAGACCTGCTGACAAATGAAGGAGATGCAGCCTTGTTAAAAAGCTCTTAATTAACAGCATAGATCAATGACAGCTTGGCAAGCATTTAAAAATAACACCATCCATCCCCCTACTTCCATTGCCTCCTGTCTCAGCTCTTTCCTACCAGCACCCCGTCTCTCCCGCGACCTAAATCC